TCTCTCTCTCTCTCTCTCTCTCTCTCTCTCTCTCTCAGTGTGCCAGGTCTGGAACATATGAGGAGACCTGTTGTATGAGGGAGCCCCGTTGTACTATGGCCCCCCATACTAGCTCTGCTATATGACTTTTTATGCAAATTCCAGAAAGAGCAATCAGTTTTCTCTGCAATGTTGCTCTATGTTCTTCAATGTGCAGATTGATTGCATGTAATCTAATATCTCAATGAATCTCTTAGTTTTAGGCTCATATTTTTTTTATGTTTCTCCAGTTTTCATGATAATGAATGCGTAATTAATATTTATGAGACATAACCATTTCAGGTACTATCGGGCTTTTCCTTCTAACCAGAACTTCAACTTGGCGGCTTTCAATATGCAAAGTTTTCAGTCTCCATTCCTTCAGTATGAAACTGGGTTTCCACAGATGGGGCAGTTGTCAACGAACCAGAGTTCGGTAACCTATAGGCCTTCAAACCCGATCATTGGTCCATTCGGTGCTGTTGGGCTAGCTCCAAATTCCAGGGGTGCTGTGTATCTTCCTTGTCCAAGCCCTACTATGATGTATGCTCATTCATACGATCATCTAAGGCAAGCTATGATACAGGTATTTCTTTTCAAAACTTATTAAGGTTTCATGATAAGGAATAAAGGAAAAGTTTAGAGAAATTACCTGCGTATCCTGTTTTATCTCATAATTCTTAGAATCCCTTAAATTTTTCCATATTACGAATTTATCCCCTCTTTTTCCCCCTCCTTTTACCCCTAATTCGGATATTGAGCTCGAACTTTAAATGTATGAAAAAGTTTGGCGCGCGCTTGCTACCCCATTCTTTTCTACATTCCATGGAAATGGATAAGCATATTCTTGTCTTAACGAATTTCTATCAGGGTAAAATGGAAAACACAAATTTTTCTAATTAAAATATTTTATGAGCGAGAGAAATTGGGTTTCCATTTGTTTCTTGCTCTCACATCCCTCAACAGCTCTTTCTCTCTCTCACAAATCCCTCACGAGCACTCCGATGAGATTTTCGGCAAGCTTTAGTGTGACTCCAGCCAAGTATCAAAGCCATGTATTTTTTTGTAATATTCCGTAATGTTTACTTGTTTTACTATAGGTTTAAGGAAAGGAAAAAGTTTATATAAGGTTGACACCTTAAAATGGCCCACCTCTAAAATCCTTTGAAAAAGGTTATTTTTATGTTGGAGAAACATTTAATTGATCATTTTGACATCAAGTTGGATACGTATGGAGAAAAAAAGAGATTTCAAGTCTTAAAAATAGTACATCATGCAATTCATTTTTTAGACCGTCCATTTTGAAGATTTTCATACTCTATAGATTTGCTTGATTTGAACTATTTTTGGAGTTTAAAAATTTTATGATATAAAAATAAATTCTCGCACTATCCTAAGAATTTTCGACACTAAAATTACATCTTATGGCAAAGTTTGGGGGTACATCTTAATTTGATTGTTTAAGGTTGAAATCTTATGCAAGCACACCCTTAAAAAAATTACCCTAAACTGAAAGGTTAAGAAACGGTAAAACCCTAATATTTTGTTTTTTTCTTTTGTTCTTTTACACATGGCTCTAAAAGGCTAAATATTATTGTGCAACCCTAAAATTATGTGGGAAACAGTTAAACCCTAAGTTCTAACCTTTAATATTGCATATTCGTTCATTTACCATGATCGTAGCCCTAAAATATGCTGTATTACCAACCCTGGAGCAGTGCACTTTCCAAGTACGCCCTTGGGTCTTACACTTTACCCTGACCCGTCCATCTTCACTTTTTGACAAACTTCAAAACAATTTTACAATATTAAAGTTGGGACCCTACGGTCTTATTGTTTTTACATATAAATTTAGAGTTTCATAAGAATATCTAGGCTTCTAGTATTATTAAAAAAAAAAAGAAAAAAAGAAAAAGCAAAAGAAATATTTGGATTTTACTGTTTCTTAACCTTTTTGTGAAAATTTTAGGGTAATTTCCTTAAATCCTATAGTAAAGGGAAAAGTTTATATAAAGCTGAGACTCTAAACAATCAAATTTGAGCCTACCTCAAAAATTTCATCAGAAGAGGTTGTTTTGATGCCCAAATATCTTCAAATTGATCATCTCAACATCAAGATGCATGGACATGAGAAAAAAAATGGATTGCAACTTTTGAAAATGGTGTATTTTGTAATGCATTTTTGGATTGTCAATTTTCAAGATTTTCAAATTTTCATAGATATGTCGATCTACACTATTTTTGAAGCTTTAAACTTTATAAATAAATATAAAAATATATTTTAAGGCCATCACGAAGATTTCCAATGTTGAAACCTCCTGTCTCGAGATTATTTGAAGGTAGGTTCTAAAACCTCACCTTATATTAAAACGAGTAAAGATTACAATAAATATAAAAAAACTTACCTGATTTTGATGCTTAACTAGAGTCCCACTCAAGATTGCTGGAAATCTCGCTCATGAGGGATTTAAGAGAGAGAAACAAAGCCCTCTATTTCTTAAAGAGTATTTTAATTTAAAAACATTTGTATTTCCCATTTCACCCTGATATGATATGTTAAGACAACAACATGCATTTTCATACGTTAAGTCCAAAGTTTTGGCACCAGGCCCGCATCAAAGCTTTTTATGATTACGGACATTTAAAGTCCAAGCTCATATATACCTCGGACTTCCAAAGTTCGACTCGGACAAAAGCAGAAAAAATAAAAAAAGGGATATATGCATGGTATGAGAAAATTAAGGGATATTTGAAAGATTAATAAGACATGGGTGATTTTCTCAAAATTTACTGTAGTCCATTGCAGTATGATATGCATTGCTGGCTCCTGGTTCGATATCTCATTGGCCATTTTTCTTGGTGGTTGATCTCCGCTGCCTCTCTGTAGAACGGATTTGTGGGTAATCCTTTGAGTGCCTTACACCATATCCCAATGGATTATGGTCTACTTTCTGTAAATCTACAGCTCAATACACATGATAAGGCCCCATTAAACTGCACATATGGGGGCCTATGCCCCTCAAGAGCTTGGGACATGAACAAATTGCAAAATACTCAAAAGGTTCTTTATTTCCATTAAGACCTTTCCAATCTAGGTATGGGAACGTTTTGCCGGAGGTAGATTGTAGTTTAACCAATGCACTCTGGCATTGTACTTGTTGAGAATTACTCCCCTTTTGGTCATGCACTGAAACCTGATCTTTAAACTTCAATTTTACTACAGCAGGGTGTGTTAACCCAAGACCTTTACGTCCAGGCCTGAGATAGAAACGTTAATTATATGACTTAAGTCAGATTGCTTCTTGTTCTGACTGAGAGAGAGAGAGAGAGAGAGAGAGAGAGATAATATCGAAAATGACTCAGGGTCGGGGTGATCTCTATGCTAGGGCATGTTGCCTTCATCACATTTCCTGATCTTTAGAGAGTAAAAATATTGAACTTCACTCAGGATCAGGGTGATCTTTCTGCTAGGTCATGTTGGCTGACCACATTGCCTGATCTTTACTTTCAGGTCTAGTTCTGATTAATCATCGTATCCCCCCTCAACCCCCACCCACACCAAATATGGAAAAAAGAAAAAGAAAAAAGAAATACACACAAACACCCATTCAAAAGGTTCTGAAATCCATTTTTATTCGTTATGGTCCGAGTAGAAAGCATTTTGCAAGGGAATATGATGCATCCTCCCCATGATTGATCTTTTCTGATTTCATAAATGTATTCATCATAGCAAATATCTAAATGTTTCTCTTTTTGTGCAGGCTCCATTATATCAGCAATCTTTGAGCTTTGACCATGGCCAGCATCAATAATACCAGGGAACTGCTTGTATCATCATGTTTTACCTTATATTAGGTTGGTATAGGAGGTTGACAGGTAGCTAGAACTCTCAAAATTTAAACTCATGTTTGCCAAAGGCTATTGAAGGAATGGGTACCTTTATAACTGATTGGTATTTAGCTCTTTTAGTATGTAGCAGACTGCTAATTCCTAGTTCTCTTGTTTTATTGTCATGGCTTCGTGTGTACCTATACCACTTCCTTTGGAATTTGTTCATTCTTTTTTGGCCACAGAGCAGCATTCTTTTTGGTTCTGCTTTAGACATTGTTATTATTGAAGATGTTGGCAGGTTTGTTTTTATTTTAGGTGTGCGAGAGAGAGAGAGAGAGAGAGAGAGACAGAGAGCATCTGATGGTTCTTGTATGTTTGTCATTCCTGTTTGTACTGTATGTTCCTCTTTGTGTGCGACAGAGAGAGAGAGGGAGTACATCTGGTTGTACTTTCTTGTATGTTCTTGTTGTTAATGTTTGTGTTGCGGCCTCGGTTTATGTGTTTATTGTACTCTGTTGAAAATGATAGATTTTCTTTATGGTTCTTTGTTGTGGTCGATCAAGTTGCTTGCAGGTTCGTAAATCCATTTGAATCAGGATTATCTGGAGAAGGTTGGGTTACGGTCGTGCTTGTGGAGAGAGACTTATTTGGATATAGATGATGGTGTATTACTTTACATGAGGGGAGAGAGATTTATTTGGAAATAGGTCATGGTGTATTACTTTGTGGGTTCAAAAGTTGAAACTAGAAAGAGGGGTTGTTAACAGCCGACCTTGGTTCAGGATGGGCCCAGTAGTGTTTTTTTGGCTTGGACCAGGGCTAATCTAAACCCGACCCGTTAACAGCCCCACTAGAAATATTGGTTTCCTCGTGGGGTTTGGAAATAGGTCATGGTGTATTACTTTGTGAAGCGTTCAAAAGTTGAAACTAGAAAGAGGGGTTGTTAACAACCGGCCTTGGTTCGGGCTGGGCCCAGTAGTGTATTTTTTGGTTGGACCAGGGCTAATTCATACCCGACCCGTCAACAGCCCCACTAGAAATAGTTGGTTTCCTCGTGGGGGTTTTTAGTATTGAAGGATGGGGAACACAAGTATTGAAGGATGGTGAAAGACAACTTAGGTTTAAACAGGAAGAATAAGATTAACCATCAAGTGGTAATAAATATTTGGAAAATTGTTTCAAGAGCCCGCAGGCATACACACTTTCATCCTTACCATCCTTAGAATGGATGGACGATATCCCAAGTGTATTGGCATAAATAAGATAGGGCAGTGATTTCATACAACGGTTGTATCATAGTATAATGCTATCACACCTTTAGTAAACTATATCATAAATAACCATAGCTTAAATGATGAATCGACAAGAGCAATTAGAAAAAAAAAATCATCTAAAATGAATTTTACTGGGTGTCGCATATGTACGTATGAGTTAGCTGAGTCTTAGAAACCCCATCTTAAATTTTTTTGCAATAAATAAATATCTTAAAATTTCAGGATTAGGATATTGGTTCAAAATATCTGCTAAAAAATTGAGATAAGATGAATCGGATATTGGTGAGATGGTTTTGTTTTTTTAGAAAAAGTTTACATAATGTTGTAATCTTATTATATATAGATAAAAGGTTGCAGTAGTGAGCACCAATCTTTTTATCTGGACGATGTAGATTGGATATTATTTTAAAAAGCATGTTACATATTGACACTCTTGAAAAATGTGTAGAGCATTGCAACTTTATTTCTATAAAATAAGGTTGCGACTTTATACAAATTGTACTGTTTTCTTTTTCGATATAAATCTTTGTATTACTAGTTGAATGACTGAAGGTAGCATGTATTATAGGGAGAGATAAATATTAAATTGAAATATCCATTTTGGAAGTCATCTCAATAGGTACACTACAATAAGGATTTCATCATAGGGTATTGTTCTAGTTGAATTCAAGTATCTCTACCTGTAATTGTAGGTATGATATAATAAGTAATACGATGGGATCATTTAACTTTGATACAAGGTGATCTTACATCCATCCCATTTGAAATTTGATACTTTGTATGTGTCACAAACTTTGAAAAAGTTTTTTTTAAAGTTTGAGTTTGGTCAATGGAATAATTGCAGCCATTTAATTTAATATCCAATGGTCAAAATTAATGTGACCACTTTGTACCAAAGATAAATTGTCTTATTCTATACTTTTTCAATAAGTGAAGGCATGTATACTACGCTCCTTTAAGAGTATATTTTATAGGGAAAATTACAAAACCTCTCAAGTATATTATATATGCAACTTATCCCCCAGCTAACCTTTTTTCTCAATTTTTTTCCACAACCAGCTTTCCGCCCAAAAACCCTTCCAATCCAAAACAAAAAGAAAAAAAAGACTAATCTACCCCCTCTCTCTCCTAGTGGCTTTTACCCATGACTCTCTCCCCATGCGCTCCGGCAGTCCATTTAAACGCTCCGGCAATGAAGACACGTGCTTCGGTAATGCAAGGACTCGCTCCGACAGTACACTTTCTAGAGCCATAGCGCTCTAGCGGTTGAATAGGTCGCTCCGGCAATGAGGACACATGCTCCTGCAGTACATCTTCTGGTGCCACATCGCTTCGGCAATAAAGACAAGATCTCCGACAGTTGTACCACCTTCTTTTTTAAAGTTTTAGTAGGATCATTGTTTTTCTACATCCATATAGATGGATGTTTGATTCATCGGAGGATGCTTAAATGGAATTAACTCCCCGACGTATGGAATAATTTCATAAAATGCTAAACTTGTAAAAACGAAAAGCAATCCACGAAAACTAGAAAGAAGAAACAAATACAAAAAAAAGAGACGATCACCTACTACGCAATGATATACGTGGTTCGACAATGTGCCTACGTCCACGAGAGATGATAACTTCTTTATTGGCAATGGAGAATAGGGTTACAAAAGCTCTCTTCCTCATGCCTCTCTTATTACAAAGTAATTTGCGTTTTTCTAGTAACCCTTGAACTCCCAATCGCAACAATATATATCAAGCTAGATGGTATAAATTACCAAAATACCTTTGTACATATATATATATTAAGTCTCAGATATATCGAATCTCATGTACGGCCCTCTGAAGTATATATAAAATACCAAAATACCCTTTGGGCTTTTAACGGCCTTCTGGAGTCTTCTTTTTAACTCCACCTTGGCAAATCTATTTTCTTATAATACAAGACATCAATCCTCAACAAAACTGTCAGTCAAATATTCAATATAAAAATTAGGAAAAAGTTTATAGAAGGTTGCAACCTTAAAATGTAGACGTAAAGATGCACTTCAAGAATCCATTGGAAAATGTTGTTTTACTGTTGAAAAACTCTCCAATTGATCATCTCGACATTGCAAAGAATAAATAAATAAATATATATATATATATAAGATTTTGAGTCTCAGAAATAGCGCATGTTGCAACATATTATCCAAACCGTCCATTCAATGTTTATAGATCTACTTGATTTTAAGCTTTTTTGAAGTTTAAAAGTTCAGAATTAGATATGAAAATAGATTTTGTGATAATCCTAAGAATTTTTTAAAACAAAAATATATGTTATAATAGAATTTGGAAGTGCGCAATAATTGGATTGTTTAAGGTTGCAACTTCATAAAAACTACACCCTAAAAAAATAAGCACTAAAATTAGGGATGGCAATGACCCGGACCCGACCAGGGAACTGAGGGATAGATCCGATCTGGATCCAGGTGGTTCCAATAATTAGACCCAGCGGGTCGGGTCTGAGTCCAAATCTTGAACCCAAAACACTATTTAGGTCCAAGTCTGGGTCCAGGTCCAGTAATTTTATTCAGGTCTTAACATATGAAATATATTTAAATATAGTTAAACACATATATGTTTTATTTTTGGGTTGGGTCCGATTGGGTTCGGGTCCCATATCATTTTTTCGTCTCTGGGTCTAGCCAGACTTGGATACCTGGACTTGACACGTTGCCACCCTTAGCTAAAATGTTGGCTCTAAATATATAGAATTAAATGCATGGAGAGAGAGAGATAGATCATCTTGGAAAGATCCTAGTGTTTTACTCTGGTCCTTTTGATAATAATAGGGTCAATAAAGTAAAAGCTAGAAGTCTATTGGTGGGAATTAAATTGCTTTTAAAATTTGATGGAGGAAAGGTTATTGAAGGAGATTTGGTGAATACTATAGCATGGTTTAAAAGAGAAGCGCGAGTTTTTTGGAGACTCTCTTCCATTTTTCATGAAATTGGTGACATTCTTCAGTCACTTGAGGTTGAAATACTCCATTATTACCGTGAAGCTAACGCTGAAGCTGATTATTTAACCAAGGGAGATGATTACCAATTTCGTATGATGCACTTTGATGTATTTTGTTGTTTTTGTAACTTTACTGGTTTATAGTTAGTAAAAGTGGTATGTTAAAAATAAAAAATTAAAAACAAACAAAAGTGAGAGAGAGAGAATTTTTTTTTGGGGTGGCGTTTGGGGAGGAGTGAGCTTGAATTCCTCAAGAGTGCATGCGTAAAGAGGGCTTGTAATTATGGTAAGAGACCGAGTGCCTAAAGTGTGAACTTAGTCTTGGTTCCTTGCCGAGCCGAGTGCAATTCGGAGCCACATAAAAAAAAATAAAAATTGGGCGTCTCTCTCCTCGCAGTCACTATGTGGTCTCCTCGCCTCATTATCAAAGGGAAAAGTTGCACAAGCAATGGTATCACTTCTATAATGTTTTATTTTTTTATTTTTTTATTTTTTATAAATTAGATTGATTTGAAATATTGGGCATCCACAGTTCTCATCCAACGCATCTAGTGAAAAATATCTTGTGCAAAATAAATTGACAAAATAATTTTTTTTGCATATTATTTTCTTTATATATGGGAAAATTTTATATAGACCCTAGGCTGTAAACAATAAAATTAGAACCTACCTCAAGACTTTCACTAGAAAAGGTTGTTTTGATGCTCAAATATCATCAAATTGATCATCTCGACAACAAGATGCATGGACATGAGAAAAAAATGGATTTCAAGTTTTAGAAATAGTGTATCTTGTAACAAATTTTTGGACCGTCAATTTTCAAGTTTTTCAAGTTCTCATAGATCTGCTTGATCAACACGATTTTTGAAGCTTTTAAATTTTATAACTAAAGATGAAAATATAAGTTAAGGCTATCTTTCCAGTATTGAAATCATAATTCTCGACACTATTTGAAGGTGAGCTCTAATTTGATTGTTTAGAGCCTCGGCTCTATACAAGCCGCA